AAATAGCACACTTATTCTACAATCATCTGTGATGACCAGAACATTTCATCCATCAAATTCAGTCTCTAATACCTGCTCTGATTAACACTTGAGTATGCATGTCAAAATAGTGATCTGTCTTCCTTTTGCTAATACACTCTTCAGGCTGTGGTGTTCAGCAAGGTTTTTACTTTTCTCAATGATGCTATATTGTTGCTTCTTTGGATTCACATTCACGTTACTTCTGTCATAGCACCGGATGCTACCCTAGCCTCAAGTCTGGTCCTGGGCTGTGTTCATAGTCATCCAATCTCTCCATTACATGGAGGCTTCTGACAGTTAAACTTGTCTCTACAACAACTGGTCAAAGCCCCAACATTGGAAACTTCCAAAAAAGAACTTCATGTCAAAGGGACTTTTGTCACACAGAGTCTTTTGCCAAGAATAACTTGAAAGTAGAAAGGTACATGTCTTCTATTAGAGGAATAGATCTTCAGACACTTTTAATTTTTTTGTTATTTATTTATTTTTAGACGGAGTCTCACTATGTAACTCTGGCTGGCCTTGAACTCACTACATAGACCAGGCTGATCTCAAACTCACATAGATCTGCCTGCTTCCGCTTCCCTAGTGCTGGGGTTAAAGGTGTGTACTGCGGTCTCAAGCATATTTATGTGTAATGTAAAAAAAACCAAAGGGGGTGGCAGCAGGAAGGACCCTTGCTAACTGTGAGCACAAGACAAGCACAAGGAGGGATCAGATGAACGGAAATCATTCTTTTCTGTTTTCATCTCCAGAGTGAGCTAGCCCTTGGCAACAGCACTGAAAGAATAGGCCTTCTGAACCAATCAGACTGTATTCTTTTTAGAATGGTTCTGGATACCTCTGACGTGTGGATCCAACACAAAATCCTCCCCTCAAGTGTATAATGTCATCACTAAAAATCAAAAGCAAAATGAACTCCGACACACTTGATTTTTCTGTCTTCTCCCCACATGTATCATTTGGAAATCTCTCAAATGAAACAAAAAGTAAAACATTAAGCAAAGAGCAAAGAGTTCGTCTAAATTCTGAGCGGTCACCACCAAAGGCACTCCATCTCAAAACAGTGTCTAGACAGCCCCTACCATATCAAAAGCCACAAGCCCTGCTGAGGACAACAGGATGTGAGTAAGGGGCTGGAGGCCAAAATGACATGGACAAAAAAGAATCCCAGGCACCTAACAGATAACAAACAACTTTGCCCCAGCGGCTGAGCTTCATTTCAAAGGCATTCTAATGCAGTATATCTGGACCCAGCAAGTCATTTTTATCTTTAGAATTATTTGGATCACAGGGCTGCTAATGGGATACAGGCAGAGAAAAGTCCTGTGGTCACCATTCTACAACAAATAAACCACTTTAACAGCAGCTGATAATGCCACAGCCTATGACGGAGTTTGGCCCTCAGCACAGATGTGAGTGAGCTGGTGTGAATATTATCTTCCAAGTTCAGAGCTCAGGGAACAAATGGAGGGCACTGCAGTATGGAAATTAACCTACTCCTGAGGACTGCTACACCTCACTGGAGACTTGAAACAAGAGGGCCTTGTTCCACGATGCCAAGGATTCCATTTCTCAACTTGATTAGCACCATTTGAGCTCTTGGTAGAGATTTTCCTTTTGAAAATGCACTCTGGGAACCTTTCTGAGTGTTTTAAAACTGGGAAGAATAAAGCAAAGGAGAAGAGATACAGATCTCGGGTGACAGCAACAGAGAGGCCCTTCTGTCCCCAGGGATTGAATTCAACTGGAGCCATAGAAAAGCAACAATCTCATGAGATGTTCAGCTTCACTTATTAAAATGGGACTCCTTGGATAGTCATCCAGCTTCATCAAACAGACAGACAGAATGCTTGATTCTTACCAGTATAGCTATCTAGAAATCTAATTGACACAGTCATCTGGTTTTCCCAGTGGGTTCTTGAAAGGTGAGAAGGGAGCAGGTCTGTCTGTTGATTTCTCCCTATGCTTCACATTGCATCCTCCTGTTCAAGGACCACATCCAGAAGCCCACTGGAGAGAAGTCTAGTTGCTAAGGAAACCACAGGATCGTTACTGTTCCTGAGCCCATACATTACTTCATTCAGTAAATGCTACTGAGTACCTACTGTTTGCCAAGTGCTATTTTAGGTGCTGGGACTACCTCCATGAAAAAAAGCAAACATAATTTGGGGAGAGTAGAGACAGGCAAACAATCATCAATGGTTGTAATTACTGAATTACAGCTCGTTGTAAAGAGTCAAATGCTGGGTTGGGTGATGGCCTAGTAGATAAAGCACTTGTCACATAAATATGAGGATCCTAGTTAGGGCCCCCCCCAAACCCACAGGAAAGCTGGGTAGGTATGGTGGCTTGCCTATTACCTAGCTACCTCCTAGCACTTAGAGGTGTAGACAGGGGCAAGGTGGTTAGCTCTGTTTTCATCAAGAGATCCTGACTCAATAAAGTGAAGTGCAATGAAGGAAGATACCCAGTGTCAACCACAGTGAAGGAAGATACCAATGTCAACCACAGTGAAGGAAGATACCAATGTCAACCACAGTGAAGGAAGATACCCAAAGTCAACCACAACGAAGGAAGATACCCAAGGTCAAACACAGTGAAGGAAGATAGCCAAAGTCAATTACAATGAAGGAAGATACCCAAAGTCAACCACAATGAAGGAAGATACCCAAAGTCAACCACAACAAAGGAAGATACCCAATGTCAACCACAACGAAGGAAGATACCCAAAGTCAACCACTAGCCTTCACATGCACACCAAACACACACAGGCAAAATAACAATAAAAAGAGAGTGATGCCTTGCAGATGATAGTATCAGCTGGAGTTAATGATCACATGGTATTGCCTATATCCCGAATGCTTTTTTATTTTATTTTATTTACTATCTGGTCATTTTTTTTCATCACAACAAAACCACAAGGCAATTACTCCTCTAATCTGTACTTTATAGACGAAGCAATAAAGACACAAAAGTGTGAATTTGTCCAAGATCACCCTACAGGTAAATAATAGAGGGGGGATTGCTTGTTCTTCTAACTTTATACAACCAGTTTCCTCCCATGAGAATTCTGAAGAAAAATGCCGAGCCATCCGAGGTCCTTTTACTCAAAGCTTTCACACAGTGTTGGCTGGGGAAGCCTACACAAGCAGCGTGTGTGCAATCAAGGAGGCTAGACATTAGGTCCTTTTACAACACAGAAAAACATACGCTTCCTGGTTTATGGATTACTTCTAGTCCCTTTTGGATCCCTTGTCAGCCATCTTGGATTACTTCCCTCTTCATAGGCTCTCCTACAGTGGTAACCGCGGGGAGACAGTAGATAACGCAAAGCTGATTAACATATGACATCGGGTCTCCTAAGCAAGGTAGTTGAGGAAACGTGACTCATATGATGAGGCTAAAATCAGATATTTGTAGCATGAATCTTAAATGGTCTTATTAATAAAAACAAAGAAGATCAGAGAAGCAGAACAAGCCACAGCCACCTCACCTCACCAATTCCTCAGCTGAACCTGTTTCCTCAGACTGAGTCCTCATCCAAATGGATCTCAGCTGAACTGCTACTCACAGCCTAAAAGCTTAACCAGCCTCTAGTTCACAGTTTTCAAGCCTTATATGCCTTTCTGCTTTCTGCCATCGCTTCCTGGGATTAAAGGCTCTTGTTACCACGCCTAGCTGTTTCCAGTGTGGCTTTGAACTCACAGAGATCCAGACGGATCTCGGCCTCTGGAACGCTAGGATTAAAGGCGTGTGCTACCACTGCCTAACCTCTATGTTTAATATTGTGGCTATTCCGTTCTCTGACCCCAGATAAATTTATTAGGGTGCACAATATTTTGGGGAACACAATACCATCACAGGTATTGGCTCTGAGACTTCTGTCAGTTCTCTAGAGCTTCATTTTAGTAATCAACTATGCTGATAGTTATAATACCCCTGTGCCACATTTTCATCCTCACTGCCTTCTTAGAAAGCAGAATGTCTTGTGTATCTTTCATTTCGGGCTTTCTCTAGGAGATGGGCAATGACTGAATCCATACAGTAACTTGGTCAGAGGAAGCTCCTAGCCTTGGGTAAGTTGTGGTTTGAATTAGGTGCTCCACATTGTGTCGACACCACATATAGAAAGCTTTGTAATGAAGGTCCTTCTTCATGTTCATCCACCACCAGCAGTCAGTAGTGTAAGATTTTAACCTTTTTGTGTCCTAGATGGAGTTAGCTAGAAACTTCTTTCTAGTGGCCTGCAAGGCTGTGGATTTGTTTGCTAGCTACAGATCACCATGTTTACTGATCATTGACTGAACTGCAATTGTCACAGGTAAAGCACTTCACATGCCATGTCACCTTGATGTCTCACAGTTCCAAATGGTGGGCATTGTTACCTTTGATTTACAAAAGGCAAAGAGGAGATGTAAAGAAATGGCAAAGCAGAGACTTAAAGACATGGGTTTGCGAATTTCTTATGTGTAGAACAGATGGGTATTCACAATACATAGGGAAATAGACTTAAAATGAGTTAGTCAGGCTGGGGAGATGGCTCAGTAGACAGAAGCGTTTACTGTACAAGCACGAGGGCCCAGGGTCAAGCCTCTAGCATCCTCTTATAAAGCTGAGCACGGCTGAATGTGCCTGCAATGCTGATCTTCAGGTTCAGGAGAGACCCTGCCTCAAGAGAAAGTGGGAAGTGATAGAGAAGGGCGCCCGACACCCTCCTTTGCCCTCCCCAAGCACGCCTTCATGCCTGCTCAGGTATTACTGTGAATTCTTTATCGTATAGCTTACACACAGCAGGGACTCAGTAGGATTTCCTCAGTTTATTACTTAGCAACCTGCTGGTTTAATCTATCAGTGGTTTATGGTGTCTTTTTACAGTATCTAAGAGGCACACACAATTGCCTCTCAGTTCAGAGGCATCGTGTTCACCTAAGCTGCCAACGCAGTATCAAATCGCCTGCTGTCACACAGCGACATACCTGCAAGATGCAGCTCATGATGTCAGACGCGATTTTCGCATGTGGAGTATCTTCGTCTTTCCCTGCAGGTCTCAGGTTGTGTTCCAAGCAGGAATCCCACAGTCCCACCAGGGCCCTGGCATGCTTTTCAATAGATTCCGTCTCTCTGATGGCTGTTGTGATCCTTGTGATACAGATTTCAACCACTGCCTGGTCATTATTATTAGTTTGGTAATCCTATTTAGAAAGAAAACCTTCGAGTTAATAAGCAGTCTAGGAAGCTGTCCTTAAAAAGAAGCAGTAATGAGCCATTTTGAAAATGCTGTGTGTCGGGTCACCGTGTGCTGAGGAGCGAGGCTGTAAAGCCCTTTACAGTCGGCCTTCCTCTTGTGGAAGAGGCAGAACATACACCCAAGCACCTGCTGTCACTAACAAAAGGGAAGGTGACAGCTGGCCAGAGGAGCGGGATCATTAGTGTGCAAGCAGGTGACTCTTCAGGCCATTTCAGTTTCAAGTCCAGACAAGATTAGAAGTTACTTTTTTTACAGTGATGTTTTAGTCACGTGTATGGAAAAAATTTACATTGCTTTATAATTTTTCCTTATTAGTTCTTTTTCAGAATCCAGTAGAACACAGTGTTTCATTGCTTCCTTTTCAACTCAAATAAGTAGCAAACCCAGGTTAGCTTTCCCCACCCAAATTTCCTTCCATCTCCCTGTCTTAATTACCTTCCAAATACGTCATCATCTTTACTAAGAAAAAAAATATGATCCCTTAAAATCTTTAAATGTGAAAAAACAAACATATGCAACAAAAATGCTTATTGCTTTGAGTTGGAAAGTGGGTCTGACTGAACACCACACTGGGAGTCTCACAGAACAGGAGACTATAAGTAGACAAGCGTTCAGATGCCCAAACCATCCCGTTCAGTTGGCTGGCTGGGAGTTCTCACTCCTAACATTATTTTTTACTAGTGTTATAATGGGGGCAATAAACATCTTGAACCTGTATCTACACTGTGATTACCTGTAGCCCAGATTTCTTTCTCCACAAGAGTAATTTTCTGAGGCAAAGGACAGGAATAATTTTGAGGCTCCTACTACATACCACTAAACTACCTTCCAGAAAGATCTCACTAATATAAACTCCCATTGTCTGGGTGAATATATAATCTCTTCATCGTGCTTTTGCAGGAACCAAAGCATCTTTAATTTTTGCTAATTTGATCAGTGGAAAACAGTATCTCATTACTGGTTGGCGTAGGCACGTCCTTAAATCAAAGTGAGAATGCCTCTTCATATGTTTATTGGCCGTTTGTGTTTCCTCCATTGGGAACTGGGCAATGAGTGTTAAGTCATTTTTCCTAAGCTGACTTCATTTTCTTTTTTTCCCTCTTTTGGAAGACTATTTTCTCCTACTAAGGATATTAAGGCAATATTTGAACTATAAATCTGCTCATGCTTTATCATTCCTTTTCAAAATTGCTGTTTATTAACAGAGTAAGAGTTTTAGACAGTTAAATCAATCAAGCTTTTGAGTTTTGTATTTTTTTTCCTGTTGTGGAATAATATCTTTTGTACACTGTGAAGATGTGTCACTCTGGTTAGTTTAATAAAAAACTGGACAGCCAATTTTTAGAATGGTAATACAAATTTTGACAAAAAGTGGTTTAGGTATATAACTTTGGACTATGATAGGATAAATAATACAGTACTTTCTCCAAATTTGCCAAATACAAATGGACTGGACATTGTAAATGTAACTCTTATCTAATAATTGTTCTTATTGTATATAGTTTTACTGTGTTAGAGTTAAAACCTTTCCTTTTTATTTAGACAAAAGGGGGAAATGTTGTGGAATAATCTTTTTGCAAACAGTGAAGTTGTATCACTCTGGTTGGTTTAATAAAAAGCTGAACAGCCAATAACTAGATAGGATTTTTGTGGCAAAGAGAACATGGGAAGAAGAATGTGGGGTTGCCAGCCAGAAGCAGAGAAAGCCACATGGCAGGAAGTAAACTAATAAAAATGGGTTAATTTAAGTTATAAGAACTAGTTAGAAACAGCCTAAGCTGTTGGCCAAGCTTTTATAATTTATAATGTCTCTGTGTCATGATTTGGGAGCTGGCTGGTGGAACAGAAAAATCCACCTACAATTTTCCTTCTAAAATTAGAAACTTACACTGTTTAAACTTTTAGATTTAAATCTTTTAAAAGTTTTATTTCTATTTTATATGTATGGGCATTCCACATGCGTGTACATCCATGCAACACATAAGTGCCTGAAGAGCACAGAGAAGGTATCAGATCCCCTAGGACTGGAGTTATAGATGGTTATGATCTGCCACATTGGGGCTGGAATCCAAACCTCAGTCCTCTGGAAGAACAATGAGTGCTCTTAACCACTGAGCCATTAATTAAATTGATTTCCATTCATTTAAAAGCCAAGGCATAGACACGGTACAAAAGATGTAGAAAACGAGCTGACAGTGCAGGGCAGAGCCCCATAAGCCCTGTTACCCTGTTCCTCAACCCCAGTTCCCCTCCCCAGTGGAGACGTGTTCCCAGTGCCTTGTGTTTTACAATGGCATCTCAGCAACTCAGAAACCATTCACCTTCTTTGTGTGTGAATCCTTTCACTGCATTTCAAATGTAACTTTTAATTTTAATTTTATGTGTGTGAATGTTTTGCCTGCATGTATGTCTACACAGCACTTCTATGCCTGGTGCTCATGGAGGCGAGAGGAGGGCACTGCATTGGTTCTCTGGAACTAGAGTCATGCATGGTTGTGGGCTACCCCATGGGTGCTGGGAACTGAACCTGGGTCTTCAGAAAAGGCAGCCAGTACTCTTTTTTTTTTTTTCTTTTTTTTTCTTTTTTTTTTATTAATTTATTTTGCAATACAATTCAGTTCTACATATCAGCCACGGATTCCCTTGTTCTCCCCCCTCCCGTCCCCCTCACCTTCCCCCCAACCCCCCCCCCCCATTCCCATCTCCTCCAGGGCAAAGCCTTCCCCACAGACTGAGGTCAACCTGGTAGACTCAGTCCAGGTAGGTCTAGTCCCCTCCTCCCAGGCCGAGCCAAACAATCCTGCATAGGCCCCAGGTTTCAAACAGCCAACTCATGCAATGAGCACAAGATCTGGTCCCACTGCCTGGATGCCTCCCAAACAGATCAAGCCAATCAACTGTCTCATCCATTCAGAGGGCCTGATCCAGTGGGGACCCCTCAGCCATTGGTTCATAGTTCATGTGTTTCCATTCATTTGGCTATTTGTCCCTGTGCTTTATCCAACCTTGGTCTCAACAATTCTCGCTCATATAAACCCTCCTCATTCTCGCTAATTGGACTCCCAGAGATCCACCCGGGGCCTAGTCATGGATCTCTGCATCCAGATCCCTCAGTAGTTGGATGAGGTTTCTAGCACAACAATTAGGGTGTTTGGCCATCCCATCACCAGAGTAGGTCAGTTCGGGCTGTCTCTCGACCACAAGGCAGCCAGTGCTCTTAATTTGACTCCATCCCCCCACAAATGACGAAATGTACATAGACAGATTGTCAGAATTATAGGATAGTGGATTAAGTTTGGTGGATATAAAATCACTAAAAAAAAATTGTATTAAGGGTCGGTGAGGTGGCTAAGTGGGAAAGCACTTACTGACCTAATGATCTGAGTTCATCCCTGGACTCATGGAAAGTGGAAGGAGAGAATGGATTATAAAAAAATTGTCCTCTGACTTTCACACATATGCTCACGCCTACCACATCCGTCATACATACAACAAGAACAAATAAAGCAATCATGTGACATTCACCTGAAAAAAGTAGAAAAGACTTTTTTTTTTATAAAAAAAAAAAAAAGAATGTCATCTTTAGCCCTACCTAAGAATATCTAATGCCTCCACATTTAGAGAAAGATGCATGCACGTTACTGTAATAGTGCTCTAGGAGGCTCGGTTCCCAGCACCCATGTGGCAGCCCACAACCATTCATAGCTCCAGGTCCAGAGAATCCAGTGCCCTCCTCTCGCCTCCATGAGCACCAGGCATGAAGGTGTTGCACAGACATACATGCAGGAGAGAACAAATTAGGAGAATAAGACCACACTGTTTTGTACAAAAGGTATTAAAGAAGCCTGAAATAAGTGGATGGTAATGCCGTATCTCCAGAAATGAAAGCACTGTCATTGTGGTACTCTTTTTTTTTTTTTTTTCAGGTTAGTTTATAGGTAAAAAGAATTTCCAATCAGCATTTTCACAGAATCCTTTATGAAACATGAGTATCTAAAGATAAAACTCTTAGAGAGTAAGACCAACCTAGAGCAGATTTGGGGTACACTTGTCTTACCGGCCTACACAGTAAGGGACAAGCTGCATTCTGGAATGCTAGATGTACAACATGCTTAAGTGACAGAGAATCAGTGTAAGGACTGAAAAGAACATTAAAGCCCTTTGAAAGGAAAAAAGAAAACAAGCCAGCTGTGGTGCTGCACACCTGTAATCCTAGAACCTGAGAGGCGGGGACAACTGGAGTCTACTTGGACTCCACAGACAATGCTCGGCCAGCCTTACTCTGTAGAGTAGGACCCTGTCTCAATACCCCTTCCTACAACAAAGGAGAAAGAGAAAGTAGATAACTAGAAACAGTACTTTATACAAACCCGAGTGGTAAATACACATGAGCACATGAAAAGTAGTTGCCCTCACTAGCAATGAGCTACCGATCAAATTAGCACTTGCATACTGCTTCACTAGACTTATTTAGATCAAAACTAAGTTCTAACATCTGACAGGTGCAGGAACTGATGAAGAGAGCAGCCAGAGCCTTCACACACCCTTCACATTAGAAAGCGATTTGGTGCATATTATACCGGAAGTTCAAGGATCTCTAAATCCAGTTGTTTTACTTTACACTGAGAACCTGTGAAGCGCATATTTGCCAAAATAATCAATGACAAGAATGTTTCCTGTAGCACTATTTAAGTAGTGAAAGTCGATCAAAAATGAGAATGGATAAATAAATAGTGGTATGTTCATATAATGGAATATTACATCCACTAAATGAATGAAACTACATGTACCAAGCTAGATAAATTAAAAATAGTATCAAAGCTACGATAGCATTTATATGAAGTTTAAAACCTTTTCTAGTTTTTATACTTTTTATATACTTCTAAGGTTCTCAGTATAAAGAAAAACAACTGGTTTTAGAGATCTGTGCATTTCAGATATTAT